CAACCTGGGCTTGAGTTCTGCCACACGCCTCTTGTCCTGGGACTTTGTCTGCCATCCACTTAGGGATTCCTTTTATCTCCCTCTTGACTTGGACTCCTGGATCCCATATTTTTTCCTCCATCATTTGGTTCATTATCTAATTTTCCTTAATTTCCTAAAGAGTAAATGATAAGAGAATTTCTGTTAGCTTTTTATGGCTGAAAACATCATTTCCTTACTGTCAGAGTTAATTTATTGTTTGGCTGTGTGTGGAGTTCAGGGTTGGAAATCACTAGCACTTGGTTTTCAGAACATCACTCCTGTGTTGCTGTTAAAAAGTCTGAAGTCATTCAAGTCCTTCTGAATCCAAACAACCCTTTTTTTTTTTTAAATAGACCTGCCTTTTCTGTGTGGAAACTTTAGAGATCTTTTTTTTTTTTTGAAATTTACTGAGGTTGTGCTGTCCTGTGGCCTTTTTCAACATCCTACCCCCATTCCTAATTATATTTTGCTACTCACTGGGCACTTTAAGCTAGACACATACCGCCTTCAGTTCTGAGGATGTTTTTGGTATTCCTTGATAATTTTCTGTTCTCTTTAACTTTGTCTTTTTCCAATTGTTGTTTTGTTTCTGTTTTTAATTAAGACAGAGTCTCACTTTGTCACCCTGGGTAGAATGCAGTGGTGTCTTAGCTCACAGCAACCTCAAACTCTTGGGCTCAAGCAACTCTTCTGTCTCAGCCTCCAAGTAGCTGGGACGCCAGGGTCTTGCTCTTGCTCAGTCTGGTCTCAAACTGCTGAGCTCAGGCAACTCACCAGCCTTTGGCCTCCCATAGTGCTGGGATTACAGGCATAAGCCACTGGACCCAGCTAACTGCAACTCTTAAATTAATTAAATTGTTAGACTTTCTGGACCTAGTTGTCTTTTTTAAAAATTAATTGATATTTAATAGACAAATAAAAGTTGTGGGTGTTTATTTTGTACAATATGTTTTGAAATATAATTTGTCTTCTTATTTTACTTTATTGGAGGTTTTTTAACTTCTATTCTTAAATTGAATTTTTAATTTATTACATTATAAATCTGTTCTCTGGTTTTTTTTATTTTGGGGGCAGGGTCTCGTTCTGTTGCCCAGGCTAATGTGTCTTGGCGTTGGCCTTGCTCACAGCAACCTCAAACTTCTGAGTTCAAGCAATCCTCCTGCCTTAGCTTCCTGAGTAGCTGGGACTGTAGGTATTTGCCCCAACACCCAGCTAATTTTTCTATTTTTAGTAGAGATAGGGTCTCGCTCTTTCTTGCTCAGGCTAATGTTGAACTCTGAGCTCTAGGTATCCTCCCACTGCTCTGATGTTAGGATCACAGGCGTGAGCCAGCGAGCTTGGACCTCTGATTTTATTTTAAAACATCTTTTCTTATTTCATGGAAATAGATTGCTCTACTTTCTTAAAAGATACTATTGATTTTAGTTTCTTGAGATTTTAAATGCATGTGTTCAAGTGTTATTTTTAATGAGAGAGGCGCTGTTTTAATGTTTAAAAATTTTACCTTAAGGAAATGTTGTAAGATTATGTTATCACTGAATTTTTTGGAGGGGGTGCCTGAATTTTGGAGTTAAAAATAGGACATAACATTTTCTTCTTTTGAAAACAAGTTTTCTTCCTTGACATACTTTCTCTAAATGTTCTGTTTTTCCTCTTTTTAACAGACCATAAATACTGTATCAGAAGTTATTCGCGGCTGCCAAGTAAACCAAGACTACTTTGCATCAGTAAATGCACCTTCCAACCCACCAAGGTAGGAAGAGGGAGTAACTGGATTCCTCGGAGGAAGTAAAAACTTATTTTGGGTTGTTAATGTATCTAAAGTACACATCTTACTCTATTTAATGAAGTTCAATTGTATGTTTTGAAACTAGGAATTATCTGACAAGATGAATATTGGGTTTTGTTTTTTGCTTTTTGGTGTTTTGGGGTTTTTTTGTTTGTTTTTTTTTTTTGAGGCAAGGTCTTGTTCTGTTGCCTGGCCTAGAATGCAGTGGTGTCATCATAGCTCGTGGCAACCTCAAATTCCTGGCCTCAAGCAATCCTCCTGCCTCAGCCTCCCAAGTTGCTGGGACAATTGGCTTGCGCCACTACCCAGCTAATGTTTACATTTTTTATAGAGAGGAGGTCTTGCTATATATATTGCTTAGACTGGTCTTGACCTACTGGGCTAAAGCATTCGTCCCACTTTGACCTCCCTATGTGCCAGGATTGCAGGCATGGGCCATGTGTCTGGAAAAGTGGCTATCTTTGGAACTCAGATGTTTAGGTTCAGAAATCACCTCTTCCACATCCTAGTTGTGGGCTTTAAGCACACAAGTCACTTCGCTTCTCAGCTGCAGTTTTCTGTGAAATAGATATGGAAATACTTAACTAGCTGGTGATCAGGTTGTGATTCTTCCATCAACAAAAATGACTCGCTCTTGGCATGTGGACGTGGCTTGCAGTGTTTCATTTTATTCTTTTCTTTTTAAATGAAACAGACCGGCGATTGTAGTGCTGCTCATGTCCATGGTTAATGAAAGGCAGCCGTTTGTCCTGCGCTGTGCTGTGCTCTACTGTTTCCAGTGTTTCTTATATAAAAACCAAAAGGGGCAAGGAGAAATCGTGTCAACACTTCTTCCTTCCACCATTGATGGTAAATGATTCAGTTCCACTTTCCCTGTTAGAAAGTAAATGTCTTTGGAGCTTTTAAATGAATCTTTCTGTGTATTAGCCTAAAACACTTAGAAAAACCTGAGTTCCAAGGATTACAAATAAGTTTAGAGAACAAGCTTTGAAGTCAGACCAGAGTTTGCATTGTAGAATTTCTGCTTCTCTAGCTGCATAACTTTAGGCAGATTATTTTTAACTTGAGCCTTCTCAAGTTATGAGGGAGATAATAATACTCCTCTATGTATGGGGATAGTACCTCATTGTGAATACTGTGAGGATTCATGCAATTAAATTACATACGTTAAGCACTTAAATACCCGGCATATAATAGATGCCAATAACAGAAGCTACTGTTAATTATAATTATCACTCTAAAGACAGATAATACCATTTTAATCACACTGAACATTTTGGTCTATTGTTTTAGTATAGGGTGGAGTCATTACTCTTTCTACGAATTCTTTAAATATTTCATTTTACTTAAATTATTTACCTTTGGCTCGGTACCTGTGGCTCAAGTGGCACCAGCCACATACTCATAAGGTGGCGGCTTCAAATCCAGCCCAGACCCACCAAACAACAAGGATGGCTGCAAGCAAAAAATAGCCGGGTGTTGTGGCGGGCACCTGTGGTCCCAGCTACTTGGGAGGC